CACGATAACGCGTCTCCTTTGAAGTTTTTAATGAACGAAACGTTTCGAAGTTCCTCCATCCTTCTATTTTCTCTCCAAGCTGTAGTTTCTATCGGTAGTTTCATCGAGATTCCGACTGATTTCGAAGCCAGTAATCGCATTTCCGTGTTTCTCTTCGGTGTCGTGTCGTATCTACTTGGCGATGCCATGATTCCCAGTTCCGCATGCCAAAAATAAATCGTCTTTTCTTAACTATCTGATGATTGATTGGTTCCTTTAAAAGGTTATCATCCTCATTTCTATGTTAGTGTTACAATTACAGAGGGTGAAATAGATGTGTCAAATCATGAAAGCTTATCTCTTTTTCCGGATTCGCTCATAGTCTGTCCAAGCATTAGGAATTATTTCATTAAAGATTCCTTTTTGTTTAACGGGTTAATCTGCAAATGCTTATGAACATCAAGGTTTTCAAACGAGGTGATTGTGGATGTTGAATTCAAGATGTCTTCTGTGGCTGATTACAGTTTGTACTATAAATAGTTTTTCGTGTATGAACTACATCCTATACATACCCACATACAGTATTCCAGATGTTTCTGCATAAACAAATCTTTCACTTTTAAAGGTAATCTCGAGCTCTGGTATGGGCATCGTATGTCGAGAGAACATGGCTATAATTTCTTTCTGGATCTGCAGTAGATTAATTGTTTTAATACTTAAAAAAATCAAATCAAATTCACAAAAACTTGCTGAAAATCATCTTCAATAAAACCACAACTCTGACATGGTGTAGGGCCTATACCTACCTTGATTTCCTTATTTTAATATGCTCGTTACTCACCCCCTATATTTTCTACAAAAAACGTTTGGCTTATGTCATTTATTTATAATCTTGAGCAATCAGTGTAAGTTTTGTTGGATTCTGTGAGAATTCAGTTTCTATCATTACCAGAACTCAAGGTTATCCTTAAAAAAAATCAGTAAGTTTCTTTTCAAAAGAATGTGATTTGTACAGGAAGACATTGACGAATGACGTTCAAAATCAGGTCCTTCCAACTAAATACTGGACTCATATTCCCCCCCCCCCTCTCTCTCTCTCTCTTATCTTCAAGAAAGTGTGCTGTGATCTTGACCTTGACCATGGAGGAGTCGTTGAACTGGACGAAGCCAGTCGATTGTTTCTGAGGAAGTCTTAGATGTTGTATTCCTCGGATTTGATCACCCTATGAGGTGAGAGCAAGGACTACATGGCATATCTCGAGTGAGGAGAAGATAAGGTGTGTTTCAGGGATCGTCTTCTACCAAAACGAGGCGAAAATAGTTTGTTTCCCGTAACTTTGCGCGGTCTACGAGACGTCCCCTAAGTGGTGCCTATACGTGTAATTAACGTCAAATGAAAATACGACGGATTGAATGGTCGTAATTCGTGGAGGCGTCAAATAGTCTCTGCAATCTACTAGCGCAGACCTAACACAAAATTCCGATATAAAAGACGATTGCCATCTTATGGTCTTCATTTGCATTTTGACGGATTTTTTAGTAGAATATGAGCAGATAGTACTGATATGGTTTTGTAGACAAATAGGATATCATAATCCTGAAATTCTGTATTTTAAACTTCCTCAAAAGTTTTGGACTTTCTTAAAGGTCTGTAAAGTAGACTTGGCAATGTCTCAGGCGGGAGTGCAGGTGTGCAAGCGACGGATGTGAATGGTGGGCGCCCCCAAAGACCCGACCACCAGTTTAGCAAAGTGACGATCCCAAAAGCCATTTATCGCTGCTCTCGATAGTTTGTTAGTAATTGATTCAGGCTGCGGGACGCCTTTGATGTTGGTGATTGGCGTGTGCGTTACTATGGCGACCGCCAGACCGGCGCCCGTCTGCTATCGGATTGTGGGTGGATGAATGGGTGACGTCACAGATCGTGGCGCCGGTCTGTCGCCGTGAGCTCTGGTAGTATTGGAGGGGGGCTTAGGAGGGCCAATTAATCACCTGTCACTGGGAACCAGTGGAGTTCCACCACACCCCTAGCCTCAAAATACGAACCCCTGTACAACAGGTGGATTCCACAGACAACTAAAATTATCCATCCGAACATTCTGATACTCCAGATGATTAATGCAACCATTCCAGAAATGAAGTCGCTCTATTTTAGGGAACTTTTAAAAGTTACGAAACAATAATAATGCAATAAGAATACCGAATGTATGGATACATTTTCGGTTTGAGACTACGAAGTCTCGGGGGAGGTGTATGAGCTTATGAGGGGTATGTTTACAGGTTTACCTATGGTAAAGAATAGGGTGAGTGTTTGGATTACCATCATGTTCGTCTGCACAGCTGTGAACTGGTTCATGTGACCGCCATATACCAAGGATCTATAATCAAACGAAGGATGCGGGGGCATAGTCGACGTTTGAGGGTGACCAGTGGGTTCCCGGTTCAAACAGGGGCATGTAACTAAGGTTCGATCGAGAAGCTTCTGACTAATTGGATGCTTCATGGCTCGAACTTTGGAGTGTACCATCAGCCGCTCCTATGTCATGCCTTTTGCAAGTTCTGATCTCGAAAACTTCAAAGAGAAACTCAGCATCCTATCATTAAAAGCTCGGTGACAGGGCACAGATTATCATCGCTTTGTACCGTCAGGATATTGCTCTTTATAAATCCATACATTACAGTATTTGTTACTTCTCATGAGATGAATAGAAAGAAGTTGTCCTACAAAATGAAAAGAGGAGTATGAAAAATGGATAGGTCAAAATGGCTAGAGAAAAACTTTTGGTGGAGGAGGGGGGGGGGGTAGTGACTTCTGAAAGATCTGTACATTAATTTTTGGCGTGCATGGTCTATGCAGATGAAATGATGATTGATACAGGGGTATGATCTTTCCTTAATCCTTTATCATTTTTTTTTGTACTGGTCCTTACCATATTTGCTTGGTAGCATCAGTTTGGAACCGATGACAAGCACCTCCATTCGCCCCTCTTTTTCTTTCTTTCTCTCTCTCTCTCTGTCACTCTCATTCACCCCTCTCTCTCTCTCTCTCCATCTCTATGACGTGCTCTCTACATGGCAATCATGTCTGTTGCCACGGTCACACAGATTTGAGAATTCCATCACTCTGTTATCAGGTCATCAAACAAAGTCAAAATTTGTTCAGCTTGACACCAGTCACTGCCAAGTCGCTCCCCTCGAGGGAGCCCCCTGCTCCAAGAATGGCTGTTCCGATCAGCAACTGGTATGAACTTTGCCCCCACACCAAAACATGTAATGACAAGGCGATGGGTTCGTCGAGTGGCGACGACGATGGTGCCTTCAAATATCTTGACAGAGAGCTAGAAAGAAGAAAAATATCTCTGGACTTTTTATTTAATTTTTCTTGTACCGTGTTTACGGGAGTAGTCTTGAAGATAACTTTTAGCTCGAACACCGCTCCGAGCCCTTGTATATTTATTTTCGTCGCAATCGTTTACAATTATTACAACTTTTTGTATGTATTTGCGAAGAAATTCCATATGGGATTGATGGGGATTTGAACTTTTGTTCACTTATGCCATCAAAAGTGGACTTGTAAAATAAATATCTTTAAAAATACCGAACGATGAGATGCATCTCGAAAGATGTTGAGACTTGGTCACAAATTAACTAATAGAGGCAAAGGCCTGGAATCAAGCCTGATTTGAAGGGAAAATTTCAAAAGCTTATGCTTCTGACCGGTAAGTATTAAATAATCTCCCAAATTAAACTTGGCGTCTATTCTTGGTAGATAGTGAAAGTGAATGGCAGATCATGAGGATTGGCGAAATGTCGCCCCCTGTTGGTCGGCTTGATGAATAGAGTGCGTGTTTTCACTTTTCACGGGCAAGATCAATTTCAGCCGATCGGCTCTTGACTTCAGCTGTATAATTAGTCAGGATTAAAGGAACACTTTAATTCGATAACACAGGCAGTGAATGGCGAACAAGAAACCAAAACAGTTCATTTACTTGCACATGACAATACCTTTCCTGACGGTTCGCCACCTCTAATGAAGTTAATCAGTTTCACGAGAAAGTCCTATAATTCCTTTACAACGCACCGTTGATGGACCAATGCTGTTGGATTATAAGTCTTGTGCTCTTAATAAAATTTCTGGTGTTAATAGAAAGGAAAATGACGATGTTGTTTTGATAAACTCTACTTCAATTTACTGGGAAACCCCCCTGTGAGTAATGGCCGTGACACGAGATGGCTTTAATTATTTTGTTTATTTGCACTTGTATCAATGTCATTTCGGCGCCCGCCCGTCGTTATCAGCATTAAAGAGTTGGAAATGACCATTAAAATATTTTCTTATCTTCAATAATGAAAATCCACCGACGTTTCCATTCTTAAGTTGTTAATTACCCCCACCGATATCATGAAAATACTTTTTACCAGTTTGGTGTATCAGGAATTTCTAGATTTGATCATTCCTAATTGATTACATGTACGTTCTTTGAATTTACAACCTTTTATCAACTTTTATTCAAAGCATGTTCATGATTTGAACCTCCACGACTGATAAGAAAAAACTAACCTTGAACAGCGTTATTTGGGGTTCGACAATAAAAGACATTTTTACAATGACAATGCGTAGCTCATATTTTTCCTTATTAATTCTATCTCCCAAATAATGGGGCATATATCCTCATAAAATATTTTATGAACGTGTAGTGATTTTAGAATTGTACCTTTAGATGGAAGGTGAAATGTTTATCTATTTATTGAGCTATACACTGCTTTTCCCAGTGCATTCTTATGAATCTTATCTAAAGGATGAACTTAAAATCTTCTAAAGATCTAAAGTCTAATTTTTGATTGGCCTCTGTCAATGAGGCCAATAGATAGCACTGTGGATAGGTGATCGCCCGTAATTAATCAAATGCTGCAATACGATTGGTCGAGTCCGGCTGTGCTATGGTAGTCGTAATTTACCTCAGCGTGAAATAGTCCCCGAGGTCCAACATGACTTCTCATAACACACAACACACACACACCATAGTGCACGCATACACTATTTCGCCGTATACTATTGCCTTCATAGCCCGACGATTGTGTGTGCGAGTCTGGAACGTGTGTGTGTGTATTTTGCAGGCACTGATGCGTACACAGCGTGATATACCTGGCTTTTTCGCTTATCAGTGGAATACATTCCTTGCCATTCACACAAGCCGAGAGTACTAGATTACAGTGAACACGATTTTCTCTCATCTATCGCTCACTGACATTTGTATCCATCGTCCTAATTTTAACGTGTTTGGAGTGCTTTCTCTGCGATTTGGAGATAACTGCGTAAGTGAATACATCCCAAGCCTACTTCTGAGTGATTATTCTGCTCATTAGCTGTATTCGAGTCACATCCTGTGAAAACCCTGCGAGTACTAATTTTCGAATTTCCACACGGGAGTATTCGCAGAGGAGCATCTATTTCAAGCATTGGATTCAAGCTTCGAGTCATCCTTGCATTTTTGTCCTGAAGGAATTGGTTTTTATCTTTATTTGCGAGGAAGATATATTCCAATCACTGTCATCATGAAGCAACCTCCACAAATGCAAACAGCGGTGCAACACCAGCCGTATCCAGCAGCCCTCCATCATACGCTCCCCCAGCACGCCGGCGGGGAGAAGAAGCAGAAACGCGCCGGAGTCTCAAACTTCACCATGTCCGATTGCTACGAAAAGCTGAAGCAACTTGTGCCGACAATCCCGAAGAACAGGAAAGTCACGCGAGTGGAGATACTACAGCATGTCATTGACTACATCCAGGACTTGCAGACGGCGTTAGAAGGAAAGAACATCGATGTTAAAATGATGGGGAGCGTGAATGCGCTTACCGGTATGATCACGGACTCAATGGCCATGCCCGCCCCATCCCCAGCCGCCTCAAACAGGATGCCGTTCACAACCATTGTTCCGCAGAGTACGCAGCAAAGCCATCAGCAAATGACCTGCCCGCCAGCCACACCGCTCGGGGTACACACACAGAGCAACGTAAGGCAACAGCAGCAGCAGCAATGTTATCCTCAACCTCAACATACATCTCTCTTTCATCATCAGGGATACAGCGATTACCACCAAAGACAACAGGTATACAACACATCACCATTTTACAAATATTTCAATATTTCACTCATTAGCCATCCAAATTTCCACAAAATATGTTAATACGTTATATCCAGGTTTTATGATTGCTCATCATTTTGTGTGCATGATGTAAGCCAACATTCATAACATTGTGCCAACAACCTACACAGTCAATGACAATGAATTACTGCCAATTTCTCAAACGAAGTAAGAATCTTCCATTTTAACGGTCGATGGTTTTGTAGTGAGTCTTTATTTTCCAGTCATTCCAATTGAAAGTGTACCATAACTTTTGTAAACTTAGTCATGATACTTGTTCAACATCAATACAATAAAGTAAATTGTGAATGTAGTATCGGCTGTCCTGTTCATGGCTTTGTCAAGTTTGACATGTTTTACATAATAGTAATAATAATTGAATGACATCTTGTGACTCTTCCTCATGCCAAATATGCTCAAGTTGCATGGGCATAATTTCTGGAGGATGGTGCTTCATATTGCATTGCATTGCATACGTTGCCTCAATACTGCTTGCCATTTTGCAGATGTCCTGATCCTGAATCCGCCCTGATCTAAAAAGAAAACCCCAAAAATTCTTTGAAAATTGACGTCTCATACCAAAACTATTCACCCCTCGGGCGCTGCCCACATTGAGGAACCAGCTGTGTCGTCGTAATTTCGGTAATACCATTCAACTTCCAGTGGTCCTTTCATCTATTGTGCAATTCCTTACAATCGCATCCATGGTTAAGTTCGCCTCCTTTTCTGCCGTCCCCCTTTTTAATTCCGCCTCGGTCGAACACCCCAGCTGTTGCTCCCTCTCACACTCGTCCCCATTTCTGCGAACAATCATTACTGGCGAATTTGGGGGACTCATGTGTTGTTTCAGCTTGGTGATGGAACCAGATGGATGAGAAAGGAAACACAGCTAATCTGCTAATCGCTGTTGAGGATTATGTGGAGCGAAGGCGTGACCTTGTCAAGGCGTACATAATGTACATGTAGAAACATCCTGGTCACGTCTGTCTGTTTCTTCAGGATGACATCACTGGTATGCCAGACTTCCAGTGCCCTTGGCCATGCTCGACTATAATCTTATTCTACATCATACATACATGTACATTACTACATACAGATGTGATCATTAAGTTAGTACGTTTTGCTATTGCCGAGTATGTGCTAAACATTCGTATCATTTTATATGCTAGACATTCGACATGACATACATAGATAGCTCACTAAAGCACAGTATGTAATAGTTGTACATGATAGTCTGGAAATGGAAAGCTATGAATACAATTGATGACCTCATCATTTCTAGTCCTGTCAAATTTGTGCAATCATGGAATTAGAGTATTATTATTGTTGTGATTACCATGCAAATAATGGAAGGACATGAATGATGACAGGGTTCAAGTTTCAACACGGTAAACATGGTCATGCAAGGACATGTTTGTTTATCATGCATGATTGACTGATTATTGATTTAATTTAATGCTCTCCCCGTTTCCGTTTTCATTGAATCGTGGGTTGTGATTTGCAAATAATACTGTCCTTATTACAAGTATAGGTTTGGTCTAATACTTACATGGACGCACATGGTTAATTTATGGTATAGCACTGGCTGCACGAGTACAATTTACATTGTATTTTCACTTATTCAGACCCTAGTTCATCGAGAGTAATACACTGACTGACTGACATACTAACCTTTGTAATATTTCCTGGTCAAAATACCAGACGAAGGAATGAAAATGAAAGTACTCGTACAATCCAACTTGAACTCCTTTTTCCTGGTGTAAAGGAGGAAGTCAAGGCATGTCTTGTGATGTGGCTCTCGAGAACTCAGCCTGTCGACCACGGAAGCAGGAAGACCACCTGGGAGATATGACTTGCAGAGCTAACTTCGAGAGGTTCCTGGTTTATTTTAACACTTGACCAAGAATTCCAGCGGACGCACCTGTTTTCCTGTGGATGCCTCTTGGTTTTACAAGAGGATTGATGAAAGGATAACATCGTAAGATGTCTTTACGAGATTTTTTTGTTAATGGTCTTTTCCATTGCATTGGGCACATAGTCATGAAATGTGTTGTTCCTGTTTTATAGCCTGAAATGCGAAATATGGCGTTGAAAAATATTTCATATTACATTAAAGACAAAATGTACAATAACAAAGCTTTTTTAAAAATCTATGTATACATTAAACGCCCCCCCCCCCCCTCCTCCCAAACAAAATGCAGGTAATGAAGAAATCAAGGTCATATCTTTCTTATAATGCGAAGCCTTTTTGGAAATGTTGTCTTGAAAGACGTTTGCTTATGATTGTTGAAGATGACACGTATTTACATGTTATACACTTAACATTGTCTTCAAGTCTCTAACTCGGTTGAATAGCATGAGGAACTTGTGATGGCGCTATTGTAGTTGGCATCCCATCTGAACCCTATCCATCTGGCCCTCTTCTGCGGTACGCGGGGGCGTGGTCGTCTTCTCTTTCCAGCCTTGGTTTTTCATCAAAGAGTTTGCCTGATGATGGCATATATTGCCTCTCAGATGAACAAATGCCACCTGAGCCCGAAGATTTTCCTTTTACCCCTTGAATGAGAAATCCTCCCGATCGGAAATACCACGACAGTTGTTGGTGAAGTAGGACAGCGTCCCAAGACAACCAACTACGTGCCTACCACCATCTGCCATTACCTGAGCATGCACATCCAAACCCTCTCCTTACACCAAACTGACCGTATGGGGCTGAAGTCAGGCTCTGCAGGAGCCGTTGCCATTTTAATCCATTAGCAATCTTGGGCAAGCTGTGATCGTAGCCCTGTGGATACTTTCATGCATAATTATCAAGATTAAAGTTTTAGAGGTGCTTCTCGGACCATCTGTACACCTTGTAGATCGCTGTCAGGTTCTGTGTCTTCCATTGTTTCATTGCCTATTCGACCCCCAATCACACTAATGCGTGAATACCAAGCGACATCTGCGAAGCAATCAGAATATATCTTGCACCGCTGATTCCTTGTATAATTTCACTTAGAAATTGAGAGATACCCTTAGAAGAAAAGATTGAAGTAAAGAACAACAGATATGCAAATGCGTGAGCTGTGAAGATTATTTCATGCATAATTCTACAAATATAAGTCAAAACTTTAATGTCCAGTCACTGAGTGTTCAATTACAATCACAGCCAAAGAAAAAGAAGGATAATTTCTCTTCACATAATGTAGCTTGTTTACTTTAAACTTTCTACTCATTTCGTGAAACTTTTTGGCTTTTGTCTTGTTTGCCTTAAAAAAAGGACTCGTATTATTTTCTAGTGTTACCCTCTGTATTTTCGAGGGGGCAAGGAGGGGGCGATCAAGAAACCATGTCTTTGCTGACCTATAGGTGCCATCAGGCATCATGGCAACGTTTATAAGGGGGGTTTGGCCGAGCGTCGTGGGTTCACGTCAAAATCCCTTATGGCACCTCCTCCATCTGTGCATTATAAGTGAAGAAAGACCCTATACTGACAGCTCCGACATGTGCAAGTACATCGTCCTCATCACGGTAGAACCCCCGGAGAGTTCAGGCCAAGACAAGCGGTGAAGATACGCTGAACCTGTTCTGAATGATAACAGACATGGGAGTCCATCAGGATTTTTTTTCTTGCTTCAAAAAGTGAATAAAATTGAGAAGCGTTAGCTAAAAGAAGGCAATCCCTGTTAAGTTGTTCCGTATGGATTTCTCTCGATAAATCCGTCATGGTCTTGAGATAAAGGATTTTTGATGTGGGAGTTTTTGGATCGGGTCCATGCAAGGGTTACACCACCACGCTGTCTGAACCTGTGTCTCCAGACAAATTGACCATCTTTCCTAGGGTCACCAGCTCCGATGATAGAGTCAGGAGCCAATACCTACACTAGTCTAGTCCCCATTTTAAATTACCAAGGAGATATTAACGAAATCGCTACATAACTTTGTGAAGCTTTTACAAAACGAAAGCTAGCTTGATATGGTTGATTTGGAGTGTACTCAATGATTTATGATAATAATGTTCATGGAATAGTCAATTGATCATTGTAGTAATGGCAATATGATAAAGAAAGTTAAGTATGAGTGCTCACATGCCAATCGGGGACATGAGCATGTTTTCGTCGTCTATATTTATTATTGAATCCAACTGCCTGTTATGATATTTGTGGATATTCAAAAAAAAATATGAGAGATAAATGAATATAAAACTATAACATAGACAACAATGGGAGCGTCGGAAGTTTTCGTAGTCATCTTATTTTCAATATTCAGCTACATTGTACAATTTTTGTTCGGGGATATCCTCAGGAAACTATAGAGCATAACACAGTAGCAGATCGTGTTTCCTCGCTATAATCCCCTTGCATTACATGCTAATGCCTTATCAATCCAGACAAAGCCTCAAATCAGCAACATAATGTGAATTATCACATACTATTCGTGTAGAAATAGAATAGTTTGGTGTGATTAAAGGACTTGGAATGAATTTCGGGAAATGTTTAAGGGATTATCAATCATCTGATCCGCCAGTAGATATCTTTGGCCGCGGAAAGTACTTTTCCTGTAACAGCTGTGAAAATTTAAACCATAAATTCAGATTTAATCTCCACTAACATAACCCGGGTTTAATATATTATATTTAACTTGATTTAAAAAATCCGATTTCCCAAGATCAAAAGACACACTCGTCTTGTGTTTTTGTTTAATATCAAAACGAAAGTTAACGTTTTATCGATTATTAGTGTGGACTGTTTTCATCCTTGGAACAAATTCCACAAGTACTACGTACCATTTTGCAACCGATATATTTTTATGATCAAAATAATATAGCTTGGCAAACATCAATAATGAATACGGAATTTCTAATTAGTTCCACTCGTTTAGACACCTTTTACATATCATTATTATAATAGAGATGCAAATAGGCTGGAGAGTCAATATGTATTATTGTTGACAAGGTTGCAGTTCCAGTTGGCGATTTTTGACGCTGTTCCGTGTTGACGTTTTTCAGAATTCTCTTACTAATTCTTCCGGTTTATTTTTTCTTTTTCCAGAAAAAGTGGCGTCGTTAGGACGCTGTCATAAATTTATTTTATTTGGTTAATTACGATTATGGTTTCTATGTTTGGAATATGATTGAATCGGGATTCGCCAAGAAAAGTCGAGAAGGACACGAGCTTGTGGTGACGACCGAGAAGCCATTGTATACCAGTTGTGTTTTTAGATTTGGGTGTTATTGAATCACTCATCATTAAATGCTCATTGGAGCATCTCATTAACCTTTCTTCGCACGCATCCTTCTCAACGCTCAAAGTTAGTTTGCCCAACCATTGTTCGCGCTCGCTCGCAATCAATAACCCAGCATTCCAAAACACCAAAGAGTGACATGAAATTCAATATTTTTCTCCCCGTCTGAGTAATTTTGTCAGGTGTGCGGTTGATATTTTTGAAAAACAAGAAGCCACCTGTGTAACTCGACCTCCTTTTGTTTTCTATTAATATGACGAGGGGGCTGTTTACATTTTGAAACGCGTTGGGCGAATCCTTGTCAATTTGCGCCAACACACGATGCGGTTTGGACAATTAGCAGTGAGCATAATGGCGGAATTGAACTAATGTGTTATCGTGGGATACAGGCCTGTGAGCACATTCAAACATCTGTTAGCAAGTTTCTCTCTTTTTTCCGTGACTGCCAAACGCGATAAACCGAATTCGCGAAGATCGTATGACATGTGCTCGTACTTAAACGATCATGAATGGTAATAGAGATAAAGGGAAGAATTAAAGTTAGTGGGATGGACCATCAACGATTTACAAAACTTCTCTATCATAAGGTATTATAACAAGTTACAACTCGAATATCTCTTGACTCTGGCCCCCAAAAAAACCTTATGCAGAATAAATTCAGTCAACATTTTCAACCTACTGTATTACTGTATATCTGTCTGAGCGTGGAGGAGCTGATCAATTTTCCGAAACGATTTATCGAATTTCTAATCACATAGTGAGAAAAGGCCGTGTCAATGGTACGGAGTCCGAATATAACTTTGTAATGAATAACACTCTCTAGTCTACATTTCAGCATACTTTACTTGATCATCATATAAATTGCAATTCATGCTGTCCCTGTCTCTTTTGAGTCTCTCCATAAGTAATGTTATGAGGAATCCCACGGCTTGTTTTCTTTTTATGAAAGTTCTTTATTTCTATGCTAAAAAAGAGATGACTTGCTCATTAGCTAGGACTCTTCTTTTGAGAGAGAGGATCAGGTCTAAACGTTCGTGGCGCTAGACTATGTCCCCGTGATCATCGGTCGATTCTTGGGCATCTAATCGTGGGAAAACTCTGATTAGGAACAGGCCCTCCTTTCGAGTTCTAATTGGTTTACGGGAGATAGCAGGTGCAACTCCTTCATACTAAATGAGTATTCATAATGGCGGTACTTGACTCGTACCGGTCCAGACAAGACGCTTCAACAAAAATTGTTTGTGCAAGGAAAATCTCTTCTTCCCTATGGCTGACCTCTCGTGGTATGATCGTGCTATTCCAATATGCCATGATTTATATGGGTGTTTACATTAGCGGGTTAAAGTATGATACTTAGATGACAAAACAGTGAGATAACAGGGGAACACAAGGGCTGAATTTATTGGTATTTACGACAGAGGAGTTGTCGTGATGCCTTGCAGATGATAATGAACATGACTGTGGTGGAGGTGTAGGGGTGCATAAATGGAACCCTGCTTGTAACGCAGTATGTAGGACTAAAGCTAATCGAACGAACCAGCATGCACATGGTTGCCTGTTTCAAATCGAGTTAATGTAGTGCTTATTATCCTTTCGCCCTCACTTATATCCCAGTGCGAATTCAACTTAGAACTCAATTATGCTAATATTTTGTAATAAGGAGATTTATGAACCATTCATCAGAATAAATTGTTTCACTTGTCGTTACATTTGCACCACGTTAAACAATTACACATTTATTTTTGCAACGTAGTTTTTCACTGCCATGATAACATACAACATGCAATTGCGTGTCATTGCTAAAAATGCACAAGTGGAGCTGTATTTATAGAAAGCAGTGGGAGGCGATTGCATCTCTTGGTGGGAGCGAAGAAATGAAGCCATATCTTACTTTCAGCTGCTTTTCCAATCATGATTCAGGGGGAGTACGAGGCGGGGTTATCCACATGAAGATCAAGAACAAATGTTGTACTACTGCTGATGCTTCATCATCATGTACATGTATGCTAATGTTTGTTCATGGCATTCCCCAACGATCATAGTTATTATGATTATATGAGATGAGTTGGAGAGACAGATGTTGGTAAAAGCCCGTCGTAGTGCATGACCATCTGTTACATTATCTACATTTACATTGTGCATAACTACAATTACATGTAAGAAGTGATGTTATCCCATCCCATGCCGCACGCAGTGCACGCCGTCATAGCATAACTTTCAAAACAATTCACAATGGTTCTCGAGATTAATACAGTTATGACGAAATCTAGTTTAAAAATAAGTGAAACTCGCTTTCCAAACTGGTGCTAACCAATCTAAGAGCCTATTGATTTTTAGATCTTTGGGCCTGATTACAACTTATCGAACAATCGAGAGTCGGTCACGTCAACAACACTGATGATACAAACGTATGTGTCTGCATAAAATTTGGCAACTAAAACAGTTTGATTTTCTTTTTGAAATAAACTAAAGATTCATCGACGTTTTCCGCCAATTACCTGCAAAAAGAACGTGAAGTTTCAATATATGATTTTCTCAATTCATCAATTAAATTATATTCCCTTCTTTTTTGCTGTTCTTTCAGATGCACATGAACATGTTACAACAACATCCGGGCAGCAGCAGCAAGGTCCTTCCCCACCCTTACGAGACGCCTGAGAGTTCACCCGAGTCGAGGCCCTGCAGCTGCTAGCAAGATTTCTGATGAGTTCTGGCAAAGCTTGGACTTCCTTCTCCCGATACATCCACAGATGGTAAGCCCTGATTCAATCTGAAATGTTTTAAGGGGATATCAAACGATTAATTGAACGGACTATCTCCTGCTTTCACCAGCGGACATCTGTCAGCAGACAGCACTGGGCAGTCAGTCACGCGCGCGTTTGCAAAGTTGCGAACCATAAAATGGTTTAAATTGACTCGAGTTTTGGGTAGGGAAACGTAAGCTTATGACTCACCTGGTAAACATGACTTCTAAAAAATGGTGAATCCTGGGGAAAAAAGCGAAATACGAAAATATTTTGCATGTGAATTGCTAACGATTTGAGAAAAGCACGTTCCTCGCAACCCTTACTTTAATTTTAAATATACGCAGTACCTCACGTCTATGCTGCGATCATCGTACACATAATTTTAATGATAATGAATTTAGGTGAATCATGGCTCTTGAAAACTGGTCTCTGACCTGACAGCCAGGTTCATCATGAGGGCATCAAATTTCCCCACTTTTTCTATCTCCAAACTCGACATTTCAAGTCAAATAGCGCACGTGGTCCGTTATACCCATCATCGAGCTGACTCTTTTTTCCGCCTTGAGCTCTGGCGTAATGCCGCCTGGCAGTGACGGTTTGGAACAGCTGATACGGGTGACGTTGACCTTTGGTTGCCTGTGTTGGATAGTGATTGCCTGTCCGTGCTAATACCTGCTTCATTCGAAAGAGATTTCTTCTTAGAAAGAGTTAAAGAGGAGGAAAGTCAAATACAGTTGTCTAGTTCTGTCATAAACTAGTAACTACCAAAGGATATCCAATATTAAGTGGATATAAAATCTCCGGTTAGTTGTGGACTATCATTCCACCGTTCGATTTTTGTGTGGGGTTGGGTCTTTCACGAATCTAATCGGACAAGCGAACGAAGTGACATGTATGCCCAAGAATTCCCAAAACTGTAGACCCTAGTATACCCAAAATTGTAGGAACTTGCCAGTTAAATTATTTGCCAATACAATCGTGAATTTTAAGAAAAAAAGGAGTTCTCTGTGAATATTTTTCATGAAAGCGTGCAAATCCAACCAAATTTCAAATTTAGGACGGAGTCATCTCGCATGGTTAGCAGTGACTCAAATGAACTCGGGTAACCCGGGTGTTTTGAAGGTTAACTGTTCGGGCACGTTTTTCCCAAACCAGAAATGCCTGGACATGGAAGCCTCGTCTCCTCACCGGTCTGTAGTTTTTCTTGTAGAAGGTTGAAAGGTGAATGCCCTCGGAAAACTGTTATGGGAATATGGTCTTTGAATGAAGCCATAGCAATGCAGCTATTGTACATGTAGCCCAGGGTTGAATAGCTTTATGCCAATTTCGCAGAAAACAGAGATATTGGTTTGAAGGCTATGGCAAACATTATAATTACCAAATTATCATAATTGGGATGGGGTTAGGAGGAGGGGGAATTACCTGCCCGAACAGGTCTTGCTGAAACTTTACCACACCATCATATTGGATCAGAACATTGATAAGTAGTCCAGTCATAATGAATTATTTACATCAATTTTGTTTTCTGCTATAAATTATTATAGGCCCTAAACATCAGAATATAAATGAATTTATTTGATTGTATTCGAGTCCAGATATTCCAGACCACAGGTTGCCTTACGGCTTCTAGAATTTCATTTTGGCACTTCTGACAATAAATCTATTCTTATTGGACATTGCACATGATACGTGTGACACGTGGTCAATATTTGACCATGGGTGTCGTTAATTTATGAAGTGGGAAGTTCGCATACTTGTTGCTAATATGCTGCAGGGGGGGAAAAAATCATAGACTTTCATAGAAATTTATTAATGACAACAGGGGTCAGAGTTTGAGGTACGACCCCGGCGGGATTCCCGGGGTGGAATGACCCACCGTCATGGAATGCACACCTGCTCATATGTTAAAACCATGTTAAAGCCAAGGAACTTCTTGACTGACTGGAAGCTCAAACTCCTTTTTAAAAAAAGTCGACAGGTGATTTCGTTTCGCTGCTCTACGGGTTCCCTCATTTCCAGGAAGGGAAGATAATTGATTAGGATTAAAAGATATAAAGAGTGAACAAACTGAATGATTAAATGATTATGTTCAGGGGCGCGACTTCGCCATGTCAGCTGTTGCTTTTCCCGCGGTATCTGGCAACTGCTTTCGCGGAAGCGCGCGAAAACGAAACTGTGTTATCGTCTGTTTCTCTTATGTGTACAGTATTTAGACATTTTCCGTTATGAATGCCTTAGACAGAGATAAGTCATATGTTGATATCTTGGTTAAACTTCCTGTCTTCCGCCGGAAGTCGTCCAGGCCAAGTCAACGAACTTCCGATCAATATTCAATTTAAACATTGAACAAAAAATAGAATAAGACAAATGCGGGTCAGTTTGGACACCAGGTGACCCCACAAAGTCTGTAAAACTGTCGATAAATGGTTCTTGGTTGAATAACCTGCAAAGGAAATGTTGATGTACGGGCTTTTCTAGTAAAACGAAATGAACTGCCTACGGGAAATTCGCTTTCCATTCATAATATTTGCATTACAGGAAATGTTTTTGCGAGTTTAGAACACAATGCAAATCCAGTGTTTACAATCCATTATGTTATTTGACTAAAAAATATTGGTATTAACGGTCGTTATTCTTCTTTTGTTTCCATGTGTAGGTTCCCTTTCCATTTGGCATCGCTCATGGTCACCGGAGTTCTGCATGCCCGAGGCTGGTTCAAAGTATTAAACAGCAGCAAATCAGGATTTCTACAACGCCGAAAGACATATTCGGGACTACAAGGACCTGCGGACATTGCTTTTTGAGGATATTGCAGACGAGGTAGTGACGCCATGGTTTGATTTAGTTATCAACGCGCTCCACAGTTTGGACGGGACAATTCAAAATGGCGGACGTTTGGAAAGTGGAATTTTATCTTTGAGAAGGAGACCGCCCCCAACGGTATAACGTCAGATACGAACTCTCACACGAGACGAAGTTACACATCGCAGAAATTGACTTCATTTATAGAAAAAAAACATGAATTTAGAAAAAAATATTAGATATTATTTAAGACTATTTGTGGTTCTGTCTTGTACAATGAAAATATGAATTGTACATATCGTAAATGCTATCAATGTTTCACACAATGACAACTTTCAATAACTGCTCAAACAACAAATTGAGCAGTCATTGAACGTTTTGGATACACTATTTCGTGATGAATATCTGTATATATTGAACGAGATATCACGATGTATTCGTATATACCGTGTTTTTACGGTTCACAGTCTTGTATATGTTATTGCCAAAACTTGTCGCTCAATGTCTATGGAATATTTTGATTAATATTTGTGATTATTTGATGATTTTTTTGTTGATTTTGCCTCCCCCTCCATGCTTGCCATGTATAGGAAAGGGCAAATATTCCATTAAAATATTTATGCTAAGATATTTAAATACATATTGATAGTAGGATTTTATGATAAAGTAATTTAGGGCGCCACACACGGAAAATGTAGAACATGCCATAATAACTTCTAGGCCAAATGACCAATACTAAAACACTCGTGGATTTCATTGCAAAAATACCACTTTTTATAATATGGTATCATAAATAAAGGTTGCAGGGACAATGTTCTGTAGTGTTTGTATTTAAATGCCATTTTATCACTGAAATTCACTCCGTCACTGTTTACGCTGTGGTTCCCCATGTTGTAATTACTAGAAAAAATATGAATCGAAACTGCATTTTGAATAAGGATTACTATTTGCCAAATTCCTCATTTACATTTTTTGACGGTTGTTCGTGTACGCTGTATTTAAACATGCGTGTGAAAAATCAACAAATAAAACAGATTATGTACGAGGGAGGCATGCTTATCTTGTCGTAGTTGAAGTGGGCGGAAGGGTATCTCCATATCGCACCTTTGGAATGAATCATTAACCAGGTAGGCCAAATTCTTGATAATATAAAAAGGGAAAATATTTTTTTATCAAACAACAGACATCCACAACCGGAAGTTAATGTAATGTTCAATACGAAAGAGAGAAAACATTTATTGAAAACACAAATCCGGTGGCAGTAATAATATTGTACCCCAAAGGTCGGAAGAACATTTCGGCATTTTTGCACTTCCGAACAACATAATTATTCTACATTTTGCTCAGCAAACTAGTAATTCAAACTCCATTTTCTGGAAACCTGTAGGCCCATAGATTTGGAAATTATCCAGTATTAATTATAATGCGATATAGTGGTATTTATTACCTTTATATTTTTTAGTTCATTCGAGTCCATTTTTTATTTTCCATATGATTTATAATTTCATATTTTTGATGTAATTTTGTACTGTTGAAATATGTTGTTCGAAAAGGATTTGAAAAAAATTATGTGTCATTAAAAAGTTACATTGAATTCTAAATATGTTTTGGAGTACTTATATATCTTTCGTGGTATCTGCTGAAGAAAAATATTTTAACGTGTGAGAGAGAGAGAGAGAGAGAGAGAGAGAGGGGGGTTGGGTGGGGTGAGTAAAAGATGCAACTATCGAGACACACCTGAGAGACAGAAGTTTTGGAGTCTCTTTAGATGGATTATGAATACATGTATAATTATGTATAATGGACAGAGGAGATAACTAATGGAAGAAGTTTCCAGAAAAGCAAGAGTAAACCATCACTCATAGACACAATAAGAAAGAGCCAAATGCAATTTGTAGGTCACGAATACAGAAAGGACAATTTAGAGGGGAAAACATGTATATACTAGGGCCATTTGCTTGAAAAGAGAAGCAGGGGTAGGCAACGTCTCACATATTTGCGAAGCCTGAACAAAATTATCGGCAACCAAAAATAAAATCAGCAATACCAGCTTTTTAAGAGTAACACTAGCAGATAATCAGAAATGGGGGAGGGGGCGAGACCGCCGATGTCTGTAAAAGACGGGGCACTTGATGATGATGATGATGATGATGATGTTATAATAGAGGGACATATAATCTCGAATAAGAGACAAGGTAATAAATGAAGTAAAGTGACAAAATTGACTACAATGAGACAGAGAGAAATAGAGAGAGAGAGAGTAACAAAAAATACATAAAGAGAGAGAGAAAACCTTAGAAGTCAAGTTCAAGTTCAAGTTCAAGTTTGTTTATTTATTTCATATTCATAAAAAAAACAGCAAATGCAAATAAACATACAAGTATATATACATACAAGGAATGGTCAGTTATTACAATAGTTTAAAATGAAATTGGAGAACAAAGGAAAAGCCCATGGTGGCTTTGTATAAAAAGTTCCCCGAATATTATAATTTATATTGAAATGATTGATTGATTTTTATTTCTCATGCAAAAAACATAATACAAAAATAATTATATCACAACAAATATGTAATGAAACGATAAATATAGTGGAAATAGCACGAGAAAAGAGGAACTAACTTGAAGCAGAGCTTGTTGAAGTGTTAGTTTCCCATATGCAAATTTTACAATAAAACATGAACAAAGTATGCTTATAGATCAAGAAATAGACAATATGTAGCTAGGAAGAAGGAAAAAAAAAGGGAACAAAAATTATTTATATTATTGAGCATATATGAGTTAAAGATATCACAAAATACAGCGATAAACACAATATAAAGACAAAAAACTACAAAAACATGTATGAAAGAACGGGGGAACCAGGCGTGAATGAGGTGATAATTTGTGAAAGAGGGCGTACTTCCTCTATGAGGCGTAGGGACTAACTTCGATGAATAAAATGAGGATTGTTATATCCGGACGGTATGTATTTGACAGCGGCGGATCGAAGAATCTTTGAAAATGCAATTGTAACAAAATAAACAAACAAACCAACGAAAAGAAAGGAAAAACAATGAAGATGAAACGAAATTCACTTCGATAGTTTAAACAAAAAATCTCTGACACCCCCAAATAAAATTCGCAAGTGGCAGGGATGGAGGGCGGGGGGGGGGGGTGTCTTGGTCAGGGAGCATGCTTGTACCCCTTGGTCATGCCTTTGCTATGGATTTATTCCCCCTATTCCTGTCTGATTTTTTTTCTTCTGATTTTATAAAATTCCAAATACAATCATGTAGCATCATGGCACCACAGAATACTTTCATCATAAATTGGAAAACGAAATATTGACTCAGGAAAGGTTGCCGAAATGTCTCAATGCTTCTTCAATACTTCATCTCATCATATTTCTATGTAGAGAAAAAAATCTTGAGCAGGCCCAAGAAGAAGAGAAGACACATCGATGTGCATGAAGACGGGGTGATAAATATGCCCGCGGCATACGAATAGGACTCGAGTCGTAATTCTGATGATGACGTTTTTCATCAGTTCGCTCGCAGTCATCTCATTAATTTGGATTTTCGATTCCATACTGTCATATGATATGGAGCTAGGGGTTCAACTTTGTTTCGTATGATCGGAGTACGTTGTGGGAATGTACGGGCCAAGTGAGTCCCTGTCTATACCCTGGGTCATACGTCACTGCGTACAGGGTGTAGCGTAAAATAAGAAAACGTAGCTGTTCACTGAAATTAGATCTATACTAATGGTTATACTTCACAGATACACAATACGATGAGATGGTAGGTCTTGCCTCTTGCATATAACAAATTGACTAAGTTGATGTTATTTTGATTTATACTTTATCATCATTATCACTACCACGAGTGAAAACCACCATTTAATCATCAACACCATCACCACCATCACCATCATCATCACCATCATCATCATCATCATCATCATTTACCATTATCTTCAATCAGCAGTCGTCTTCGTATTGTCATCATCACCTCCGTATTTCTTCGTCGTCGGCAAGAAAAAAATACGCCGGCAACAATTCTTGGTCAACATCTTACAAACCCACATCTTAAATTAATGTCAGCCCTCGATTACAAACTATTCTTAGCTAACCATATTGCAACCTTTACCAGCCGATGTGACTTTGACGAGATGAAGCCCGGGACAATAATATCTCCAAATCATGTTTAGATAGACTGAGTTCAACGTATACAAATCCACAATATTGTATCATTTGTATGCATACTCTTACAAGCTATATGCTTTCACAAAGATGAATATTTTTTTTATTTTTTATGGTATACCCTATACCTTGAAAATCCCGCAATCCACGTCGAGATTGCTTGGCTCCAAACAAACGAGGCCCATAGTACTCTCACCCCCTCCACTACAAATTGCACCCATAAATCGCATACCCGGGGATAAGGCGGTGCTCTATTATAGGATCAATTTATGACCTTTCTTCAAATGTCAAACGTCAAGGTCAAAGGTCAAGGTTAAGGTCAAGAGAATTTTGGAGCAATGTCATGAAGGATATGTTGTACGTGTCTATTTCTGCATTTTCCTCGCTGTATGTCAACGGTGTCGTGGACCACACCCTTTTTTAGAATGTCATCTAAACATTTTAATATCAAAATGTGTTTTATTCATCTCCTTGCTCTTTATCTCACCCCTTCTCTCCCTCTCTCTCTCTCTCTCTCTCTCTCTCTCTCTCTCTCTCTCTCTCTCTATTTCTATTTAAAGTTCCTGATTTTTGGAATATTGTATTATGGTAACTAACTGCTTGTTCATACACTTTGTCGTTTCAGTCATTTGCAGGGCCAATTTCATATTTTTCTTCTTATTCTTCTCTTCTTCTTCTTCTTCTTCTTCTTCTTCTTCTTCTTCTTCTTCTTCTTCTTCTTCTTCTTCTTCTTCTTCTTCTTCTTCTTCTTCCTCCTCTTCTATTCTTCCTTCTTTCCCCCTTTTTATTACCTTAGAATATCTTCTTCTCCTAAACCCATAATATTCTTTTAGCTTTGATAAACATAGCACATACGTAGCACTTGCATGGGCTTTCTATTTTGTCAATTGTTTATCATATACAGCAACACTAGCATACATTTGAACCATTCTGTGACATGATTTATTAGGGGGAGTTTCTCTGATTGCTATGCGAACGTACACGTAGTTCCAATACATTTGTCGTTGAGAAAATGCTTATACAGGACCTCATAATAATGTGACATCCTTTCCTGCCATCTCTATTCTTTTTCAAACATTGTTATCCATGTCCAGTCAGTCTTTGCTCTGTTATTAGGGTATATTTTTCGTTAAAAACTTGAAATCATGAAATGAAAACCATTCTTTTCGTCGAACCTGACCTAATAAGGTTCGATCTATAGAATTCCATCATATCAATTAAGACAGATACCTATGAAGACAGATACTAGTTTAGCGGTTACGCGTCAATGAGGTCAGAATGAAGTACGCTTCATATTTTGGTGCTCCAGCAGGCTATAGGGCAAAATGGATATACTCTTTTCCAAGCCAGGAAGATTGAATTTAAAACGGCAAGATGAATTTGTAATTTAATGAAAGTAATTTCCGCGGCTTACTGAAGATCCGACACTGATCCTATCTTAGATTCCACAGCGATCGTTTTCAGTATCAAATTTTCTTTTATCAACACTCTGTCAACTGAAATGATATAATATGTATATCATTATTTGACAGTCGTATCTTCTTCTATCTCTTCTTCTATTTCATTCCTTAGGTTTTGCTGCTGCCTCTTCTTCTTCTTCTTCTTCCCATTCTCATTCTCCTCCTTCTTCTTCTTCTTCTTCTTCTTCTCCTTCTTCTTCTTTTTCTTCTTCTTCTTCTTCTTCTTCTTCTTCTTCTTCTTCTTCTTCTTCTTCTTCTTCTTCTTTTTCTTCTTCTTCTTCTTCTTCTTCTTCTTCTTCTTCTTCTTCTTCTTCTCCTTCTTCTTCTTCTTCTTCTTCATTTCCCTTTTATTTTCTTCTCCTTCTTCTTCTTCTTCTCGTTCCTGTATTGTCTATATGCTGTACTATTTAGTCACTGATATTTTGGCTGCATATAGAAAATCATGTCATTTTGATTGAGTCATTATTAGTAATGGTATTCAGTTCAAGTACTATTTTGTTGGTTTCCCAGAATGGTACCTTAATTAGAAGGAGAATGATAAGATTTGATTATTTTTCAGGAAATTCAAAGGCAATCGGGGAAGCTGAAAAATGTTTTGAGACTTAGATTCATAAGAGAGAGAGGCAGAAGAGATATATAGAGAGACAGCGATGGAGAGAAGGAGAGAAGGAGAGAGAGAACTAAAGGGGATATAAATCAAATAGGAAAGAAGAAATAAGAAGTAACATGAGAATTATAGAAAGAGAAAGAATAGAGGGGAGAGAAGATGAGATAAGGAGGAAGAAAGAAAGAAAAAGGAAGAGAGACAGAGAAAGAGAGAAAAAAGAAAGAGATATGAGAAAAAAGAAAGAGATATGAGAAAAGACCATCACGCACTGTCCCCATAGCGAGCAAAAAACATGCAGAAAGCATGGACATAATTGTGCTTTCCGCTTATGTCATATTTGATGATAATGGAA